CACAAACAACCCCCCACATATACACACACACACACATGCACACATACACACACATAGAATTTCTAATACACAAGAATGGAAGTTACAGTTTATAACTTGTATCGGAGGGCGCACAATGACTTGCATGTCTACTGTCCACCCTGGACCACGTAATGTCTCACAAACGAGCTGGGGTCGACATTACTAATTTCTTAGAGCGCGCAGGGGGTGACTCTAAGATTACGCCAGGGGTTACGCCCTCAGCAGACGATTCGCTAGCCTGGATACTGTAAAACTTATATAAAGCTGACCGTGCTTTTCCTAAAATTTGTTTTTCTCTTTTAACAAGTTTTAATAAAGTTTTACGGAGCTCGCAATTGCATAAGGTCATAAGAGTGCCAAGGGGTGGATGTCAACAGAGAAGTCTAAACGGGGAATCACGCTTACTCTGCTCACCTCTCTAGTCTCAACTGCACAAAGTCTGCTTCGCGGCCAAAGCACCCCGGAAATAGAAGTTCACATGAGAGTGACAAACATACAAAAGAAGTAGAGAGAAAATTACGATAGTAAGGATGAAAAAAGAAAATGCAGCAGCCCCCCCCCCCCCCCGCCATGTTGTTCCGGCACAGTATGCGCATGACATTGATGAATCAGCCCATTTACATTTCTACTCGGCCTAAGGACATGTTAATACCCCCCCCCCCTTTTGGGATTGGCCTAAAGACACTTCAGTCAGTAGCACTGCCCTGGTGGAGCATGACCGTGTGTGAGGGATCTCATACAGCCGGGCTCCAAACCAGGATTAATGAAGCCAAATGACATGAACATGTGTCAGGAGGTGATTGGAAAATTCTGTTAAACCAATGGCTAGACTTGATAAAATCAGTCATTAAAAATAAAACCTTTATTTTAGAAATTTGGAGGTGAAATAACCACCAAAAAAGCCCCAAACAAACCTACAAGAAACCCCCACACCCAAAACAAAAAAAACTTTCAAAAGAACAGCAACAAAAACAAACAAACAACAACAACAGAAAACAAAACAAAACAAAAACAAAACAAAACCAAAAAAACCCAACCCCAACAAACCCCAGCAAACAAGCAAAAGAAACAACAAACAACCCTCCCCCCCCCCTCCCCCCCCAATAAGTCAATCATGGGTTTGATACCAAACATCTAATTCATGCGATGGATAGAACGGTTCAAAATGATAAAAAAAAAAAATGTAGTAACTGTAGCTGTCTTTTTACAAAATATGCTTACACAATATTTCCGAACGAGTGAGCATAATATTATGATTCCATGGGAATTCCAGTAAGGTCTATTGCATTCCTTGAGCAGGCAAGAAAAAGATCTAACCCTACAATATAATGTGGCATATATACGTAATGATCTTCTGATTGGCCTAAGTTTTCATCAAATCCGCTTGAGATCTGGAAAATGAAAGGTTTTTAAATTTTTTGGGGATAATTTAATCAAATTGGGCCAATTTAAAATGGGAGCGTTTGCACCTCATGAAGAACAAGCAAATCGAAGATGAGTTGATTTGATTAAGCTTTCTACAGTATTCATTGGGTAAAAAGCCTGGACTAGGAGAGACTGTAAGCCAGGTTTCAAAGGAATATGAAAAGGAAGATTAACAGGGAGCCTTTTCCGAATTTGTTATGAAAATGCCCCCCCCCCCACACACACACACACACAAAAAGAAATTAAATTAAATTTAAAAAATAAAATAATTTTTTAACAAATGAGAAGACTTTCCCCTCATGCTATAACGTTGAATTTACTAAGTCAAACTTCCCACTGGAGAGAATTCGACAAGTGTCTCGTGCCTTTTGAAGCTCTGATTAAGTCCTGGCTTGGAGTCCGGCTGTCTGTAAGTTTGAGAAAACACCCAAACACGCCCAGGTTTTTCTTTAGAAGGTTTACAGGAGCGCACAAATAATTAGAGCTCAGTGAAGTGAGGAGAGTACCCCTGTAGACTTAAGAGTCTTTCCAAAGAGTTCTTCTCGACAGCGACAAGCCTTCACGCAAGCATCCCGGATCCAGTCTCCAGGTGAGTAGGCCTATACAACCTGAAGTTACTATAACTTCTACATGTATATTTTGACTTCTGTATGTCTATTGATTTGGAAAAATTGATTTCGAAAAAATATCGCTTTTAATCGACCCTACAGAGCAATGTATTCGAGAATTAAAAATCTGGATGACCAGTAATACACTGAAACTGAATGCTGACAAGACGGAAATAATGTCGAATGGAAATACAATTTAAAAGCCATTAGAAATCTCCCTGTACTACAAATTGCTATCAATTATCTTACCATTCGTTCAAATAGAAGTCTTAAAATCGAGGGGTTCAGTTGGACAATGGTATGTCTCTGTCCTTCCAAATTAGCCAGCTAAGCAAAAGTATCTATTTACAGCAGACAAAAATCGGCAGAGTACGAAATTATTTAACCAAAGCAGCAGCCAAGACATTAGTAACAACACTGGTTTTATCAAAATTAGATTACTGTAAAGCTATTCTATCTGATTTGACGGCTGGAAAAATATTTAAGTTACAAGTGCTCCAAAATCAAGCAGCAAAATTGATAATGAAACAAAAGAAACCAGCGCACGTAACATCAATTCTGGAAAAACTACACTGGCTGCCAGTAAAAGAAAGGATCAAATACAAAACTGCCGTTTTCTATTTTAAATGTATAAATGATACTGAACCTATTTATCTAAAAGAAATCCTGGAATTATATCATCCTCACAGAGCCCTTAGACTTAAATCAACCACTTAGAACCCCGAAACAAAATTATTAAACATACGGCAAGCGTTCCTTTTTATTCTTTGGTCCCTATATGTATGGAACGAACTCCCTTATTTATGAAAAAAGGAGTGTCTTTACTATTCGCATTTTCCAAAAACAGCTCAAGAATTTCTTATTCACAAATGCATACCTGTCAAAAAGATGAACTTTTGTTATACATGCATGTGCATGCCCGACTGTGGGACTGAAAAAAAAAAAAGAGAGAGAGAGAGAGAGAGAGAGAGAGAGAGAGAAGGAGAGAGGAAGAGAGAGAGAGAGATGAGAGAGAGAGAGAGAAAGAAAGAGAGAGAGAGAGAGAGAGAGAGAGAGAGAGAGAGAGAGAGAGAGAGAGAGAGAGAGAGAGAGAACGGAATGTTTTTCTATTTGTAGAGAACAAATGTTTTTATTGAATGTTTCTAGTTATTCGAGTTTCAGTTTTTTTGTGACCTTTCGTGAGTTTTTATCGCATTCTATATTTTTAGCGAACGCATTGCCAGGCTCACTGCGTCACTATTTTTCGCTTGGAAATTTTAATACGTACATAATATGGTCGCTTTTAAGGACAAGTGGGCTAACCCAGATTTCGGGGATTTATAGAAATCTTGATCTACCCCAAAAGTGGGCATTGTCCTACCTATAGGAGACGTTTGGTTTCATTGGTGTGTATATTTGTTTGTTTATAGAGAAAACTCTACTTGTCTTTTAAAGAAACTGAACAATGGGCAGAAACGTTAGCTTCGATTTTCACAAAAGAGCATTTTTGGGATAGCCCTTTTGTGCTTAAAAGCGACCATATTGTATAATACGCATAATGCGATGTTTTACGTACACACATGACCAATAATTTTTAAGGTGTGACAGGCGCATAGAGCATTAATTTTTTTAGAAAATGAAATGCGCTATATAAATGGTATTTAACAAAAATTATAATTATAATAATAATAATAATAATAATAATAATAATAATAATTATTATTATTATTATTACTATTATTATTATTATTATTATTATTATTATTATTATTATTATTATTATTATTATTATTATTGTTATTATTATTATTATTATTATTATTATTATTATTATTATTTTCATCCTTTTATGACTTAGAATGCATCCTGCCTATGAACTAATCTTATATCGGTAGGCGGGGCGTAAAAGCGTAAAACCCATGCTATACTTAACGATGCAAGTCTAATTTCACAAGTAAAGACTCCTTAAGATATCATAACGAATACCTGTTGTGATAAAAATTTGTTTCATGTTGTTGTTGTTATACTTCGTGGGGATAATTGTTTATTTGTTTTTCGAAAAAGGTATGAACTGGTTTGACATTTAAAACGGACAGATGGTAGCCTACATGTGTTTTGCTTTCTCCCTGTAAGAAAATAATGCAATATTACTTCGTATTGGTATGCCCTCTCCCCCATGAAACGCAAAAGAAAAGAGATACACAAGGGGTCATTGTACGAGTGACTTGACGCAGATTCATTTTTCACAAATAAAACTGCCTTCTAGTTTAATCTAGAGAAATACATGTAGTTACGAATAGATAACATTTTTCATTATTTTGCTAGGCCTAACATACAATGTGGTCTCTGATTTTCGCCCATGTGTACTATTAATGACGACGTAGTCTATACATGCATATATCACACACATACACACACACACACACACACACACACACACACACACACATATATATATATATATATATATATATATATATATATATATATATATATATATACACACGCACGCACGAACGCACGCACGCACGCACGCACACTGCATACGCCTTCAAAAAGAGCTGCATCATCTGTACTGTTCGAACTAAACTTTACTTCTGCACCAGGCCTTTGTAGGATTTCGTAAGGCTATTCATCTTCACAAAGAGCCACGCTTGAAACAGACTTCGGCGTTCAAGGTTCTCCGTTCATTTCTTTGTTCCGATACTCTTCAAAAACCTACGTGTATTTATTATAATAATGCTGTTGCGCTGACCTTTCCGCGTCACTTTTCTATTCATGATTTAGCAGTAAGTTGTTCTGGGTCGACCACTGTCTCGTTTTCCTTCTGTTTGTTTTTCCTCAGTGAAAACACGATGTTCAAAACCTTTATGTAGCCTTTATATAGCCATTTATTATAACATTGACATACCGTACTTCGCTTCTCTTCCCCATACGGTGGTCCGCATACTGAAGGAAGCTACCACAATGGCAGCCCTCCCAGCTACTCAGAAACAAGTTGAAGTGAAGAAATTGGTCACAGACTTTCACGAGATCACGCAGATCGCCTCAGGACCAGTGCCCAGCCCGGGAAAGCAACAGTTTTTGATCAAGACCAGATATGTTGGTATAAACGCCACAGACGTCAACAAAAGTGCCGGCCGCCATTCGTATTCCTCCTCTGACTTAAAACTCCCATTCGTCGCTGGTATGGAGGCTGTGGGGGAAGTTGTGAAAGTAGGAGATAGTTCCAAGTTCAAGGTCGGACAGTATGTAGCGTGTTTGCCATCTGGTGCGTTTGCAGAGTACGCAGTTGGAGACGATATGACGTCAATACTCTTGCCGTCTGCCAGTGCAGAATTCTTAGCTTTGTTCGTCAGCGGCTTGACTGCTTCCGTTGCTCTGGAGAAGGAAGCGGATCTGAAGCCTGGCAAGACGGTTCTGGTGACCGCGGCTGCCGGCGGGACTGGACAATACGCCGTACAACTGGCCAAACTGGCAGGGTGTCATGTGATAGGCACTTGCTCTGATGACGCTAAGGCTAAATTCCTGAAAGGTCTCGGATGTGACCGTGTGGTTAAATACACGGAAGAAGACCTCAATCAGGTGCTGAGCAAAGAGTATCCGAGAGGGGTAGACGTTGTCTACGAGTGTGTCGGAAAAGAAATGTTTGATGCTGCGCTAAAAAGTCTGGCTCAGTTCGGTCGTCTCATTGTCATTGGACAGGTTTCCGCTTACAAGGATGACGACAACGTGAGATCTTTTCAGGGACTAGCACTCGCATCAAAATCATCGGATATTTGTATTCCTTTGACCTTGATGTTCAAAGCAGCCAGCATAAGAGGCATGGTCCTAGGTGCCTACATGGGGGACCTCCAGCGCCACATGGACACTTTGATGAAACTGCTGAAGGAGGGAAAAATCAAAGCGTCCACAGACATGGGCAAAAACGTCCCGTCTGGCCCTTTCGTTGGCTTGGAGAAAGTTGCAGATGCTGTTGATCATCTTTTCTCGCGAAAAAACATTGGTAAAGTGGTTGTTGAAGTTGGGAAATCCTGAATTCGTTTCTTTATCTCCATTTCAAGTTTTACTATCTATGAGATGAAAGGGACTTTAGAGGACAAGACGGTGTCTTACAACGATCTTCTGTGTGACTGCTTTTAGATTGTGAGTTGGTGTTTTACAGTGCCAACTACATCATGAAGTCATATAGCTTACTTTGTGCATTCCAATTTAAGAAAAAATCGCTTCAAATATGTTCAGGAAAATAGTCTAAGCAAGACCCTGTACTTTCTGTTACATAGCACAAGCATTATATATAAAAATACGTTTAGTTAATTCATTATGACAATATTTAGTACCCAGACGTTAAAAAACTACAGCAACAACAAAACAATCAATGTCGTTTTGGAAAACGTAGCAGAAAACGTTCCGAAAGAAAATGGAATCCATGTAAGCGACTGGAGACAAGATCCAACGAGGCTAAACGCGTGGTGTTGGAAAGAGCTGCTTATAGAGAGGCTTCTTGGAAAACTACGCTCCGAATGAACAAGGTAGCACGAGTTGGCTAATAGAAAAAGATCAACCTTGGACTTTGAATTTGAACCTAGGCGTTGTTTGTCCTCTGCAGGATGTAGCCCTCAAACAATGTCCTACACTCTATTTATTCTGCTGTTCTCCGCTTCCAGTTTGTACCCGTTCGCTTTTTGATGCCATCTTGCCACATTCTTGCTGGTCTCCGTCTTGATCGTTTTCCTCTTCTTGGTCTACACATACTGATTCTGCGAATCTCTCTCTCTCTCTCTCTCTCTCTCTCTCTCTCTCTCTCTCTCTCTCTCTTTCTCTCTCTCTAACCCTCTCTCTCTTTATATATATATATATACATACATACATACATATATATATATACATATATAATTATTATGTTTCCTTCATTCCATCGAAGCCCATTTCAAGTTTTTTTGGAGTGTAAAGTTTCGTGATGTTTGTCATTCTTGTTTTCTTTCGTATTTTTTTCGTGCTTTATTTGATGTTGTACTGTTCATTTCCATCGCTCTCTGTCTTGTCCTTAATTATATTCTATGGTATTTCTGAAGAAGAAAAATATTGGCTCACCATTTATTAGATTTATAGCAAAGACGAATATATCGAGAGATACTTCTTTTGTTGGACTTGTGATTCTGATATCACAATAAGGTGTTGGCCAGTAAATTAGTTGACCCAGAAGTTTGGTCTTGGTGTGTTGTCGAAGGAATTTGTCTGTATCTACTTTTGTGAGCAACGCTGTGAATTTATTTTTAAAATTTACTGGACTCTGTTCTTTGTACTACGTTTCAATAGATTAGATCCACCCAAGAGATTAGTTGTATTGCTTTGTGTGCGTGCATACATGCAAAAAAGAAATACTCATATGTGAGGCAGCGTGGTGGAATCAGGCTCTCGTCAATTTTTGGGCATGTAGAGTTATTGGTATCATCTTAAAGCTTGTTCACTTGTCTTAATTCAGATGAAAAAAATACCCAATTTTCTTGAATACAGGTCGAGATATTTGCGAATAAATGAGGTGGGGTTCATCTGTTTTCAGAGGAAAAATTAGTAAGAAAATGGCCTCTAAAGATTAGTTATTTCATTAGCTTAAAGAGTTCGTGGTAACTGAAAACTTACATTTTTTTGTGCTTTTCATCAACGTTTTTCAGAAATATCCTCACAGAAATGAGTTCTTTAATGGGCATGAAAGGTGTTGAGCCAAAAAACAAAAATTTGATAAAAATTCACAAACCTGCGGAAAAATGCAAGTTTCTTCATTTTGATTATTTTGACGACAGCCTGATTCCACTGCGCTGCCTCACATATATGTTTTGAAATGTTTGTTTCTTTACTTGCCTGTTTAGATTTTATTTAGTTTGTAGTACACAAAACATACATTTCATTTAATTTACGACTCTTGAAGTTATTCTATAGAAAGTTATTTGATTCAAAGTCTCTCTCTCTCTCTCTCTCTCTCTCTCTCTCTCTCTCTCTCTCGCTCTCTGTGGGTATGTATGTGTATGTGTGTACGCGTGTTTGCGTGAGTGTGTGTGCGTGTGCACGCGCGCGCGTGTGTGTGTGTGTGTATGTGTGTGTGTGTGTGTGTGTGTGTGTGTGTGTGTGTGTGTGTGTGTGTGTGTGTGAAAAGAACAAAAAAATGTTCGTAACAATATCCTGATTTCTGAAATGACAGCTTAATTACAGGCTTAAATCAAGTGTCACGTTTTTAAATGTATGTGTTTTACTCCCCCATCAACACAATTTAGTTCACTTAGGGGTCGCGCAAGGGCTAACCTAGGCTGAGAGGGATACAATGTCTCGGTAAAACATCCAGAATACTCGATGAACCCCCCCCCCCCCACACTGGAATCGAACTCGGGTCTTCTGCGTGCGACGGCGGAGAACTACACCACAGTTGCTCTTCAAAAGCGTCCTGTCAACACTCAAACAAAGCTGTCCGTCAAAAAATAAAATAAAAGCATAAAATATAACTATTATAATGATTTCTGTCATGCTGACAGTCTAATTTATTGAGCTGAAGAACTTGACTTGTGAAATAATACAGCATTGGTGAAGTTCTCACACCAATGTATAAATATGATGTATACACTTATGTATCTATTATATAAAATGTCTATACAATAATCTCAATAGAGCTATACACCAGACGTGTACATGTAGTTATTCTCAAAACTATCAAAGTCGTAGACTTTGGCGAGAAAGGAAGAAAAAGGGACAACAAATCAAAATGATGATGATGATGATGATGATGATGATGATGATGATGATGATGATGATGATCACAGTTGGGTAAAAGAAAGGTTATCTAGGAGATTGGGCTCCAAAAGGAGCTGACCGACCAAACCATGAGCTCATATTGTACAACACCCCCATTGACGATTCGAACCAAGGGCATCCGCACAATAGTCCAGCGTGATGTCAACTGAACTAATGGTTCACCCTTTTAACCCTTCCAGTCCCAGCAATTTTTGTACACTCCCTAACCCCAGTCCCAGCCAATACAGCAGTATTTCTGAAAAAGAGGCATGCTTTCTAAAAAGGGATGTAGTATCTTTGTAATGAGGTTTAGATAGTAACATATAACAATGTTTAAAGGTGAATGAACAAATATAATGAAAATTAAAGTTTAACTAGGTTCGCTAATTTATAAAAATGCTTAAATTCGATACCCCCAAAACAATATACGCTCTTGGGACAATTTTTTTGGGGGGGGGGGGTACAAGCGCTGCTTAAAATATACGCGCATGGGGCTGGAAGGGTTAATACTTAGAAATACCACACACATGTAAGACATTATGATGAACAAATTGCATGGACTGACATCGTTGGTGATGACTGAGATAATATCATGATTGATTTTAAGAGAAAAAAAAAAAAAGCTGAAGCCTTTCAACAGCACAGTATATTGCAAATTATCATTAAAGAAGAATTTCAGCGTTGTGCATAAACCATCAGACAAATAATTATTATATGGTATATTTCAAATTGCAGCAATTTACGATTAATCATAAAGTATTTTGTGAATACGGAAGGTCGGTTCTTGTGTAACAATTGAGCATGTGATATCTTTCATTGTATGGCACAGTATACTTGAGACCCAAACTCGAATGTTCTCAATTAAAAAAACAAAGAGATAGATCTATATAGTGAAATACATACATATATAGGATAAATATATATATATATACACATAAACATATCAAATATATATATTGAGATCAATCACAGCCTTTAATACTTGAAGTTGAAGAATTGTTTTTCTCCCCGCGTACAACTAGGCAATGTTGGAAAACTGCAGAATGGTTCACACTCTTTTTGTGCCATGCCCTGGTGTAGTGCTATTTTTGTCATACATTTGAAGTATAATAATTTTATAGATTCTTCACTGTCATGGTCACCTCTCTTTGCCCTTTATAAAAACTTCGCTACAAATTGTGCTCACAATGGGCAGCCAAATGAAGGACAAAACTCTAGAACCGCTTTAGTCTAGTGAATGCTGTACCTCCCATCCCTTTGCCTTCATTTGGTTCTCTCTCTCCTCTCTCTCTCTCTTTATCTCTCTCTGGCTATCTCTCTCTCTCTCTCTCTCTCTCTCTCTCCCTCTCTCTCTTCTCTCTCTCTCTGTCTCTCTCTCATACACACACACACACACACACACACACACACACACACACACACAACCACACACACACACACACACACACACACACACACACACACACTCTCTCTCTCTCTCTCTCTCTCTTTCTCTCACACAAACAAACACTTACACAAATACGCTCTCTTCCCCCCCCCTCTCTCGCTCTCTCTCTCTCTCTCTCTCTCTCTCTCTCTCTCTCTCTCTCTCTCTCTCCCTCTCTCTCTCTCTGTGCGTGACTGTATGTGTGTGTATGTATGTATGTGTGTGTGTGTGTGTGTGTGTGTATGTTTGTGTGCGTGCGTGTGTGTGGGTGGGTGTATGTGTGTGTGTGTGTGTGTGTGTGTGTGTGTGTGTGTGTGTGTGTGTGTGTTTGCGAGCGTGCGTGCTTGGGCTCGCGCGGGCACGTATGTTTGGCGGAGGGGGGCGGTGACACACAATTTTGTAGTCTTCCTCGGTGGACACACTCCAGACGAACCACACACAGAAATCGGCCCAGTTGCCTGGCCACAGTGACCACCACCCACAAAGCACCGATCATAAATCTGTCACATTCCGAATCAAGGACACTTGTTTCACTCGAAGACTGCCATTCATGACAACAAGCTGTTTGAGAGGCATAACTTCAGTTGGACCTCGAGGCTAAGTGGCTGAAGAGCCATATGAACCTACCCAAATAAGCATTAGAACAGAAAATATCGTCGACAAGCTATTTAATTGTTCTGAGGCCAGAAAGAAAGTTTTTTCATGATAGAGAAATGATAGTTTTAAAATTTCTTTTAAAAAGTGTACCACCTACAATATACATCCTCTTCTTGCTGGCCTTTTTTCAACTTTTAGAATTGGAATTTCAACACGATATTTTTTTATTTCTTGAACACATGCAACCAATACCACAGTTTAAGAAACCACACTTTAAAAAAATTCACCAAAATTTTTCGATTCATAATGACATGTAAACAGCTGACCGACGATATATCACAGGGGAATGCGAGCCAATGGCGTTGTCCTAAGCAGTCCAGCAAGACACCAACTTACTGGGTAAACAGCGCATCCCACCTGACGTCTGTGATGATGTAGTGGTGAGGCTCTTTATGCTGTTGCATGCAGAAGACGTGATTCCGATTCCTGTTGAGAGAGAATTTCTATATTTCGTTTTTTTCCCGTCTGTCTGCTGAACCGCCGTGTCACTAGCAGCTCAGTTTGATGCCATGATGGAATTAACCCACTCTCTGAATGAACTAAATAGTGTCGATGGGGGCATAAAACTTCTAGTCTACAACTATATTTTATTACAGTGAATCTAACGCCGCCTTTCTCACTGCTGTAACATACTTATCGCCTGGTGTTTTGACTTGGGAGTCGGAGAGACAAAAGTATCCCACTTTCGCTCCTTAACCTCTCCCTGCCTCTGGGTGTTGGACAGACGCCATGTCTGTTTATCAAGGTGATCAGCACATGGTGCGGGTGAAGATCCTGATTCGATGTCTTGTGGACGTACAGGTTTCGGAAGTGATGAGGCCACCAGAAGCTGGTTGGACGTGATGGACACTTGAGGCTGACGACCGCTGCTGGGGAGGGCTTGAGATTGGTTCGCTTTCTGGTTTGCCACGAGACAGGTTTGCCCTGAATTTACGAAAAGCAACAGGGTATAAATGCTGCAGTACAAAACATAACAAAAACACCCACCAACCGTCCCTTAGAAAGAAATTCCCTACTCCCTGCCCCCACTACCCCGCCAAAAATAACAAATTCTTAAACAACTCAGATTTAAAAAAAACAGGGACAATACGACCTCCCCCACCTCACTCCAACTCAGAACAGCATTGAAAACAACAACAGTAGAAACAAATTTAAGCAAAAACAGCGGTTACAACAACAACAACAACAACAACAGTAACGACAGTAACGACAACAACAACAACAAAAACAACAACAACAACAGAAATAACAACAGCATCAACAACAAGATACGTCATTTATTTTTTTTTAAAATACATGTGGACTATCTAATGTGGCCAGCTTTCAAAATGATCAGTTTGTATAATTTGCTAAGGCGTTAGACTTATACAAAAACCATCAGATTGCACAAGAAGCCACCCGAAAGGCGAAAAAAGAGGAGAGAGTGAAAGACGAGAAGAGAAGAGAGAGCGAAGGGCAAGAAGAGAGAAGAGAACGAAAGACGGAAAGAGAGGAGAGAGTGTAAGCCCTTCTTGTTCCTGTGTTGTGATAATAATTATTAACAGCCTCCTCCAAATAGCATCCCCGACACAGATTACCTGGAGCAAACCCTTGCTTGAATGATTTGTACATGGATGGATAGATGGATGGATTGATATTGATTGGTTGATTGATGGATTGATAGATTGATTAATAGATGGATGGATGGATGGATGGATAGATGGATGGATGGATGGATAGATGGATGGATGGATGGATGGATGGAAGGATATATCTATTCACTGATTGATTAGTTTAATCAATTGTTTTCCGAGTGCCAAAGATCGAAAACAGGCAATCCTGGCTTTCCCACTTCTACTGTATTTCTCTGTCCACAGGTTCTCCTCGGCAAAATATTATTATTTAAATGGTACACAAGCAACAACAACAACAACAACAACAACAACAACAACAACAACAACAACACAAACCAAACATAAGCAAAACAAGATTGAGGCAAAACGTGTGAAATATGGAAGTACAGTTACCTCCCGTGACCTTAGGGTAGTTACTCTCCTGCCAGTTGGTAATTTCTTCCTTTTCATGGACCTTCTGACAGTCTCCGCATAGGTCTGGCCCAAACAGCTCGCAGTGGATTGCCCTTCTCAGGTCCGTCTTGTGGTCAAACGAACCACCAATGTCCGATTTGAACACACCCTTTGTGACGTCATTTGCTTCTCTGACTTCATTTATAATCGCGGTTTCTGAAACGTGACGGGGGTATGTTGTAGGAGGTAAGGTTTGTTTGACGTTGTCATCAAGAACACAAACTTCATTAGTAACGTTTTTCACAACAGAATTTGTGACTTTTGGCTTGTCCATTGTCGGTGTCTTCCCTCCTCTCTCAAGTTGCCTCGTTTTGGCGTCGGTGTCCGATTGTCTGGTGCACATTCTCGCTGAGTCTGAGCTCTCCCGTGGAAGGAAAACGCTTAGGGTCAGACTGCCCGGTGTCTTGGTCAGCATAGTCCGGCCTTCTTGTTCTCCTGTTACCCTGGGCGTCCCTAAAGACAGAGTACCAACACTCTCAACTCCTTTTGGCTTTGCGATCATGGGTGTAGCGTCGATAGATATAAGCTGAGGATTGTTTTTTTCTGTCTTTTTCAACACACTGCTGACCTCGCTTCTGCGGTTGAGGAGCTTGTTCTGCATTTTATGACGAGCTTCCGGTGACGTAGATGGTCGAGGGGGCGTTCCCGAGCTACTGGGAGACCGGATTCGGAAGCGGTATTTCGTGACCTTTTCCTCGTCTGCGACCCCTGTTTGGGTTATGAGTGCCAGTTTGTCGCTTTGGTCGATAACTGGGTCATAGCGAGGGGTTTGATCTTTGTGACTTTGCGGTAGGGAACTCTGTGGTTGTGTCTTTGTTTCTGCCTTCCTCATGCCAAAAGTCACGATACCCTGGTAATTGTTCAGACTCTTTGAGACGTTCGAAGACAGTACCTGTTTTCCATCACCGTTAAGTTGCAGGGGTGTGTGCGAGAGTGACGTCATAGGTAAAACCGTCGTTTTGTTTTCAGCGTTTCTACCCAATCTGAGAGTTGGGCCGTTAAAGAAAAATTGTCCCTGTCTTCGCTTGCTAGCCAACCCCACATCCGTGGTTAAGACTGACTTGCCTTCGAAAACAACCTGATTCATTCTGCGAGGTAGGAGAGGAGTATGTTGAGGGGGAAAAAGAGAGTCTCTTGGTTGCTTGTAGGCTGGTGTTGGGAGAATAGAATAGGATCTGTTGTCTTGCTGACGTCGCTTAAATTTGGAGTAAATGGGCGGAGCTTCTGGTTGACGTATGGGCGGGGATCCAGGGTTGTGGCTGAGATACATAGGCGGCCACACGGTGGATGGGAGGGCTTGGGGGCGTGGCGTGGGCCGCTCCGCAGGCTCTGACGTCATGGCGTCCACGATGGCTTTGACAAAACTGTATTCGTACTCGGCATTCTCGTGCGAGGCGCAGGCCGGTGACCGAGTACCGAGGGCTCGATACGACGGAGCCGACTTTGTGCGACTTGAGCCCGTCATTCCGAAAACAGCACACACTGACGTCACTGCTACCTAGGTTGCTCACTCCGGCCAGCAGCAATCGCTCAGTTTTGGATTTTACACCCCTATCATAAGTTTACGTCATTTTGAACACAATTAGTTCCCTTTAGAGGAGGTAATTCTATCTATCTCTCAAATAATGAATTACACGAGGAACGCCGATTTCCAATATATGACTGGATGTAGATTTTTATCTTTAACTTTCTGAACGATGTAGGCTAATAGACTAATCCTTCTTGAAGGTTTACGGAAACTATCTCATTTCCATAGCACTCAGACTAGTGAGTTCTGAACTGCTTCATTCCTGTGCAAAGTTCCGTCCTGCAAAGAGGGCACATAAGTGACGTATGCTTGGGCCTGCAGTGGAGTGGTTTGCCTAATACATGGTCACAGTTGTTCTTTTAAAGCTTGTAACGCACCTGTAGGAAATTTTAAAAAATGAACATTATTTCAGATCAGATTCTTTCTGTAGAATTTTGTTTCTTTGTGAGATATCGCTAAGTCAGAATTACAAAGTACTATTTGACATTTCTGGCCGTTTTCAATTATTTATGACCACGATGTCAGAGAACATAATATTGTATACCTGATCCATCAACATCGTTAGAATATTCTGGGTCGTTACCAGGATATTCAAAGAATTGCATTAAAAAAAGCTTGAAATATTGTGAAACTCACATTTTTACGTCACATTTCTCAAAACTAGGTACTGAGCAGAGAGAACTTTGACTTTGTAATTCTAGGGCAGCGAAAGGAACAAAAAAAATGTGATTATAGAGGTTTACGCCCACATCGACAAGTTTTAGAACGTTTGGGTGGCTGGCTGCCTGTCAGGGCGAAACTGGGGTGATTGGGATGAAACTTCCCAAAAGAAAAAGGAGGAAACTTGAAGATATAAAAATTCTCCTCACAGGAGAATCGAATTGACGCCTCGGATCCTGTCTACGAAGGTGAAGCGCCAAACCGTCCCACCAAAAACACAAGTGAGAAATGAGAGGAAAGGACACGATTTTAACTGGAGTGCAATTATACAAGTGTCGTTAAATAATAATACGTTTTGATGCTAAATTTCATATTATATTATAGTTTGTTCTCTTGCCATGATGGTGACGTTTCACTTTTCAAATTTCGGTTATTGAACTTATAGGTCGCAAACTGTTAATCATTTTACCCATTACAACTGATTTTAGTTAGTCGTATTCTGTAATAAATGCATAGCACCCGTTTGGAAACAGGTTCATACTTGACTTGTAAAGAAATGTATCCTGAAATATTGTACAGCTCAGCTAAATAAACTTTTATACTAACTCTAGAATTGCATGCGGTCATTACAAAAATGGTTAATATCCTGGTTACAAAGCGTGTATCTGCGCTCAAGTATGTGTTTGTTTATATATCTCAGTGTATATGTCTCTATTTATGTATGTTTGAACCTAAATATGTATGTGTATGTGTGTAAGTGTGTTTGTGTGTATGAGAGTGTGCGTGCGCATGTGTGTGTGTATGTGTGTGTGTGTGTGTGTGTGTGTGTGTGTGTGTGTATGTGTGTGTATGTGTGTATGTGTGTGCGCGCGCAGATTTACCCGTAAAACTTCTGAATAATTCCATGATGAAAGTGACATAGCAAAAAGAATAAGAAAAGCTTTTTAAAAAGAACCCTTCAAGCTTTCAGAGTGAATTTCCAAAAGGTCTTTAATATTCAGAAGTTACCAAAATAACCTTCTAAAGGAAGACGATATAATAATGTATGTTTTCCTTTTCATGAGAACAACAAAAAAAAAGGCTCAAAGACCGTCAACTTTCAATGCCGATTTGTATAACTTCAAAGACTATACAAATATTTCGGGATATCTTTTTCCAATAAATTGTACTTCTTCCAGCAAGGCATTCGATATCTATTTTAAAGACATTTGTCAGGATCTTTTTGAGACTCGAACCTGCGCGGCAAAATCTTTTATTCTCCACAGGTAAACTTAAGCGGTTCATAAAAGCAACAAAAAGGTCATTATGCAGCAATAAATCAAGCGTGACCCCTTATGGAAACATTTTAAATACCGGGGCTTTCAACAGTTCATTCCCTTTAAAATCGAACAAAAATGTTCTACAGTTTGGTGGGAGGCTATGAATCTTATATTTATTTAAACTTGAACTCGTCTAGTTTGGTGCTTCTACATAAAGGTTAAGCTCAATTCTGGGGAAATATCACCATCCAGTGCCAGATCTGCGACAGAAATCAGCGATCATGGTTCTCCATTCATTCCTTTGCTCAGATGCTCTAAAAAAAAAGCTACGTTTTCCTGATTTTTCCCTGTTACCCGTTTGTTTAGTTTCCATAAGTACATGTATGTTGTTCTGGGCCTACCCCTGCCTCGCTTGCCTTCATTTTGCTAGTGAGAGCTGGATGTTCAAGACCCTTATGTCTTTTCAGGTGTCCCTAAAGCTGATTAAATTATATATATA